CATCTAGTGGTGGTGCTATCTATTCCACCTTTTTCTCACTTTCTAAGAAGTAGGTTGTGATCTACTTGGTCGAATGCCTTGCTGAAATCTAAATATATTACGTTCAGAGTATTTTGCTGGTCTACTAATTTAGTCACTGTGTTGAAGAATGAAATAAGATTGGTTTTGCATGATCTGTTCTTAACAAACCCATGCTGACTGCTAGTTATTACTTGTTTCTAGATGTTGGCAGATCTGTTTTTTTATTATCTTTTCCAGTATCTTCCCGGGTATTGATGTTAGGCTGATTGGTCTATAGTTTCCTGTGTCTGTTTTTTTTCCCTTTTTTGAAGTTGGGAACCACATCAGCTCTTTTCCAGTCCTCTGGTAGTTCCCTGGTGCTCCAGGATTTTTGAAAAATATGGTGCAGTGGTTCTGAAATGACCTCTGCCAGCTTCTTTAAAACTGGGATGTAATCCATCAGGCCCCGGTGATTCATTTTCATCAAGATCAGAAGGTGTTCTCTTACTATTTTTTTTTGCTTATTTTAACTTTTATTTCTGGTCTGTCTTTTACAGTTATATTTTTGGTGGGTTGAGCTATAGTTTCTTTTTGCATGAAGACAGATGCAAAGAATGAGTTAAGCAGTTCTGCTTTCTCTCTGTTGCCTGTTACTTCCTTGCCGTCTTCTCTCTTTAGTGGACCAACTGTTTCCTTGATTCTTTTCTTGTTATTTATATGTTGGAAGAAACTTTTTTTTATTATCTTTGACTTTTGTTGCAAGTCTTTGTTCGTTCTGAGCCTTTGCTATACTGACTTGTCTTTGCAGATTCTGGCTATCTGCTGATATTTTGCCTTAGTTGTATGTCCTTCTTTCCATTTTTGTACTTGTCCTTTTTTTCTTTGTGCATCTTTGTGCAGCCATGCTGGTTTCTTCTTGGATTTCTTGTTTTTCTTTCTCAGTGGTATTGTGCTGGTCTGGGCTTCTATGATCATAATTATGTGTCAATGCAGTCTACATTCCAGCTATGTTCCTCCACAAATTTTAACATTTCTTCTTTAAAAAAAACTTTTATTTTTGCTTCTCAATCATTTTAAAAATTTATTCTATGGTAGCTGTGTGTGGGGTTCTTTTGGTTATAACCTTGGTATTTTTATTCCATTTTTATGTTCTATGTTTTGTTAATCATTGCTTAAATAACAGAATTATAACTTGCTAATGATAGGTAAGTTACCAAAAAACAAAAACCCAGAATAAGAAATCAGTCTTCCTAAACTGTTTCCTGGATTAATTTCCCACTTTACAATTTTTGTTTACTTCAGAGAGACAAAAGTACCCAATAAGCCACTGTATACTTTTGCAAGGTGAATTCCCTCTCTATTTGCACACACTTCTCCAACATAAAAGGAATAATTTTCCATTCTTCACAAGGCAGTACTTGACAAGTTTAAACTCAGGTTAAATATGAAGGCTCACTGCATAAAAATCAACGTTTAATCTGCTTTTGAAGTTGGTGATCAATGGATTTCAGGTGTTCTACAGTAGTAGCTGCCAATGAATAGGGGTGGGTGCAAAACACAAAGCTTGGTTGTTTTGAGCAGTAATCCCAACTATTGTAGTTTTTAAAAAAGGCTTTCTTTCCTGATCTTTTGACTGATTAAGATTGCCTCTCTTCTATGCACACTTTTATGGAATATTATTGGGTGGCTGTGTATCCCAGTCTACATATTAGCCAAATATTAACTCTATTTGATCTATGTTTTTCTAAGATAACTGAGTAGAAATACCTAGTCTTGGTCTGTGGGTAGGTGGCCTTTAGAACAATGAAAGTTGGGTACTCCTGTCCATATCAGTGGTTCCAGACTAGAATGTATCATTCTACCTTCACCTGGCAGATCAGTCTTGCTGATCTGAGTTTGAGCATTTTTAGAATGTCTAAAGGGTTAAGGTGAAAAACTGACTCAATTGTATCTGAAGCCATTGAGATATATTTGGTTTATCCAGTTTTAAAAACACATCTGTCTTTATTCCATTATCAAAACTAGTATTGTTAACCACCTAATCCCTTTGGAGTCAAGTACTGATATCCTATTTCATTGATAACTGAGTACTTTTAGGGACATAATTGAACGAAACTCAGATAATTGAATAAAAAAATGATAACAGGCATCCTGATAACAATGTTACCACAGTTTCATCTTTTAAAAAAGCAGTTTTCAGTGCAGTTGTTAGATCTGGCTATCTGTGTAACTGGAGATGGTGCTTGAATAGGCAGTTTGTTCATAAAGACATGTATCTACAATTTTCCCCAAGGCATAATTCCTGGTCTTGTTTGCAGCAGACCACATCCTGCCTTTTTTTTTTCATTTGAGTATCAAATAATCTTCCTAACTGTTCTAAGTCTTAGTTACATTTCCTTAAAAAAGGGTGTGTGTGGCTTTTCTGGATGGAGACTGCACACCTGCCGTATTCCCTCCAAACAGTATTTGTCTGTTGGGGATGTTTGTTTGGCTGTACAGTTGTTGACAAGTTTTAGATATTATTCCTAAAACTGTTTTTCAGCTGTAGGAATTGTACTGTCTCCCCAGAATTGACACATTTAAGTATCTTTTAGGTTTTCCAAACAATTTTTTTTCTCTAGTAATGATGTGGATAAGAGGAGAGGACACTACTGTGAAAAGAGAAATGAGAGCTGGTGTGGTATACTGGTTAAATTGTTGGACCAGACACAGAAAATTCTGATCAGTCACAAAATATCATTGTGTAACTTTGAGCCAGTCGCTCATTCTCTCAGCACCACCTGCGTCACAGGGTTGTTGCGAAAGAAAATAGGAGGAGGGAGCTGTATGCATGCTACCTTATGGTTCTAATTAAAGGCAGAATATATGTCAAATAAATACATGGAAGAGGTCATCAATCAGAAATAAAAACAAGTCTGTTAACATTGTAATGTTCTATAGTATGTTTACATTTGCATTGTGTAAGGTTCTGGACACTGCATATGAAAAGGGATATAACAGAACTAGAAAAATTGCCAGAGAAGGCAGCCAAAATTATTACCTTTCCTATGGGAAAAGGGTAAAATATTGAGGAATTTTTAAGATAGAGAAAATATTATGGAGACATTAATTTACAACTGTAGAGAGAAAGTTGGCATGGAGATTTTCTCCCTGTCTTAAGAAATAGGACCAACGGGCATTTAATTGGAAGGAAGATATAGATCAGATAAAAGAAAACAGTTCATATGGTACTTAATTAATTTTGTAGAGTTCATTATTACAAGACATGATTATGTCTAGTAATTTGTTTGCCTTTGAAAAAAGGCAATAGTAATTTGTTTGCCTTTGGATTCATTCATGGAGGACAGTTCTATAAAAGCCTATTTGTCTTGAAAACTCAATGTAGTTTGTAGATTGGAATTAGACTGTTTTTCCATTCCATTTGCAGAGGAATAATGCATGCTTTTCAAGAACCCCAGAAATGTGTGCTTGGCCATTCTCGGAAGCAAAATGCTGGACTAAGATGGGTCTCGGACCTACCTAGATGGGGTATTCTTAAGTGCTTGCTCAAGCTCAATGTAAAGGAATCCTTACCAGTTTTATGAAATTGTATTTATTTATATACCTTCCTAGGAATCTGCGCCAATAATTGGAAGCCCAGGTACTTTCCCCAAAAGCAATTTGATAAAAGGGTGACTAAAAACTGTCCTGTTACTGAAGATGGGTACTTAAGCCAATCTTTTTCTATTTTTGAGTGGGTTTCCCCTTTGAGAACAGCCATATTTCCTGTTATATTGATATGTAATATGAAGTTTTTATTCAAGTGCTATGCAGAAACTTGATTTAAAGCACAATATGTGTGGTGGCAGTAATCTTAAACTTTTCTAACTTTTAAATCTATAATAGAGCTAGATGATTTAATCTTTCCTACTACTATTTTCATAATGATAAAAAAATGATATTCTTTACATTGCTAATGTTGGTACTCCTTTGCCTAAGTCCTTGATTATATATTTTAAAAACTGAAATCACCACTAGTGGTCTGATACCTTAAATATGGGAACTGTAGACATATTTGAAAGAGATTAACTGTAAATATAAATTTTTTTTTTGTATTAATTGGATCATTGCATAACATGCTATTCCTTTGGAAATGGTCATTACAATTTTACAAATGGAAATATTTTTTGATCTTTATTATTAGTATTAAAGTAATGGTTAGCATGAGGTTTACAGCTTTTACTGAGCATATTTTACAAAGGATAAAAAAAATTACGTTATTCCAGTCAGTGAAGAAGGAATTGCTTGTGTGCAGAAAGTATCTACTATCTCCAAGAAAGGCTGAGATTGGAAATGACCACTGCCCAAAGTCCTAAAGGACTTCTGCACCCTTTGAAGTTGTTGCATTACATCCTAGACAATTTTGTCCTAGGATTGAAAGTTGGCCCCAAGAAGTCCTATTACATTTTAAATAATCTTTGCTACCACTTGTAGCAAACTACAGTTTTGTATTATTTGGAGGAGATCACTGCCTATTGTTATTTATGGCGACAAATAATGTTTAAGAGTGGTTGCTGTAGTGGTAGCAAAACAACTGATGGATGGATAATCTAGTGTAGCGAAGTATGAAAGTGCAATTTGCCAGGTAACTGACTCACAGTGACCCATAGTAGGATTGATCCTATCTTTTAAAATCTTCTTTTAGCGGTAAATGACTTTACTTGCAAGTTGTAAGGGGTTTTAGTGCCATAAATGAACATGGGGTCTAGTTAGTTCTGGTATTCTATAGTGAAATTATAAAATGCTTGAGAATAACTGAGAACAGTGTGTTTCAAATATGAAGTAGTTTGGGAACCTAGAATTGGAAGTATTCTCATGAGGGTAGATATTAATATATAATAAAAGAATGGTGTTTGTTTAGTTATCATTTATATATATATTTGATACATTTAATGAAGTAAATGAGACATTGCAGATTTTCAATCTCTTTACTGAGTGTTATTTTTCTCTTTTTTTTAAAGCTTCTCCTCTCTTGCTTTTTGCAAACCGTCGAGATGTCAGACTGGTGGATGCCGGTGGAGTGAAGATGGAAGCAACGGTTGTAGTCAGTGGTTTAGAAGATGCTGCTGCAGTGGACTTCCTTTATTCACAGAATGTTATTTACTGGACAGATGTGAGCGAAGAAGCTATCAAACAGACTTATTTTAACCAAAGTGGGAATCTTGTACAGAGTGTCATTGTTTCAGGGCTGCTTTCTCCAGATGGCTTGGCATGTGACTGGATTGGGAAAAAATTGTACTGGACTGACTCAGAAACAAATAGGATTGAAGTTGCTAATCTCAATGGAACATCTAGGAAGGTTCTTTTCTGGCAAGATCTTGACCAGCCAAGAGCAATTGCCCTGGATCCAGCTCATGGGTAAGCACCCCGTATTTTTAAACTTTCACATTCATTTGCAGGATCATAGTTGTTTTCGACTTGCCAAACAAAATACAATCTCTTCTCACAAATGTTGTTTACTCAAGGTATTTTTCTCCGAATGTATGCTTACATTTAAATAAAACATAGGATGAGGAATGGGAAGTCATAGAAGAACATCCTGACTAATGCGCCAAATAAAACATTTAAAAAATATTATTTTTCCAGCTTAGAATTCTTTAAAACTTTATAAACTTTAAACTTTATAGCTTTTAACATTATAAAACTTTACAATGTTGTGATTTATCTATAATTAATGTGGCTGGTGAAAAAAAAATTAGGGAGATTGCCTGCTAAAATACATGATAGATTCAGTTTTGCAAATCTGCAACATTGGCTTTTCACTGAATCTTAATAAGTTTTCAAATACCGTGTTTGAGGTAAGAAGGGATCCAATAGTTTGAGATATAAAGAGTGGGTTTATTGACATATAAAATTTGCTTCTGCAGTACAGAGGAGCAATCAATCAAAAGTTTGATGCAAGAAAAAATGGTGTGCCATTAAGTTGGTTTAGACTCTTGGTCTAACACTAGAATTTAGGAGATTTTCTAGAAAAGCATTTCTTTATAAAATAAGGGAGGATGGAAATGAAATTTCTGTACTTTTCATCAAGGTTAAGACTGACCACAGATCTTTTTGAGAGCAAAATGTAGAGCTTAAATAGTTGAGAATTAAATCATTCAGTTCATAAAACTGTATATTTATTAATAATAACTTGCTTCAGTTAGATCCACTGTGTAGTTCAGAAATAATGCTTTCAATTACTTGAATTCCCAATTATCCAAATATTCTGGTTAACCACACCTAACAGCAGTTCTGGCATCCAAGTTAGTGGGTTCTAATATTAGAGAGCAGGAAAAGAATCTTCTCATTTTGTCATTGGGGAAGAGATATTGTAGATGTTGGGAAAAAAAATAGATCCATGCCCCCTTTTCTTAATTATCCTGCTTTAGGAATTCTGAATTATTTAATTGCCCAGGGGATTCCCTTCCAGAGGCTGTAGACTGAAGCTTTAATGTATAAATATGGCTGCATCTTGCAAGGTCGGAAGTGGGATGGGGGAAGTTAGGTGGGAGGCTGCCGCAGCATCATTGCAGTCGGTTGTAACAGCAGGCAGGTTGCCTAGCACTCAAAATTTTGTTCTGAGGCACTAACTTTGGGTAAGAGTCATACCTCCCTTCATTCGGCATCACCCATCATAATTTCGAATGGTCACTGAATAAATTTGTGGTAAGTCAAGGACTACCTGCATGTATTTTATTATTAGCCTTGTTTCTCATTGTAAAAACAATTATATTAAACTATTCATTATAAATATAGGGTCAAAACTATTTGTAATTTGTGAAAATTACTCTTGAAATACATATTATAAGCATGTTGGTCATAACAGCATAATAGTCATAATGAATCATCTTAATAAAATTATCCTGCCTGTAAGGCCCAAGCTCTTATGAGATGGAAATTGTCTTGTATAAGCAGAATACTGGGAAGCAAGAGATTGAGGGCAGGGTTGAGTAATGGTGAAGCTGACAGGGTACAAGAGAGTATTCATCCTAATGAGAGAATTTGATAATATCCTTCCCACCCACAACCTGCCTTGTACACACAATTAATATAGTGGTGATTTGTGGTTGAGTATGCTAGCATTGCAAAAATAATACAAATAGGAAGACCAATATTATATCTCTTATTGTTCCTTGAGAAGAAGTTATCCACTTTTTGGGATGCATATAATTTATATATAATATTGATCATCTAATTTATATGTAAGATTGATCATTATATAAATCATGTAATTTATATATAATATTGATCATGAGGGAGATGTTTATATCCAGGATCTTCTTATGAGATGTCTTTAACCATAAAATAAACAATCTAAACATTTTATTTGCACTTGCCTGCCAATTTGTCCAAATGAAGCTGTAATGATCAGATTCAGATCCATTTATTAATATGGCTACCAACATTTTACAAATTCATTGTCAGGATCTTGCCTTCCTAACTCTTATTCTCTCTGTTGAAGAGTTTAAGAGTTATTTAGAAATTCATTCTGATTCATATTGACTGTGGTAATGTTCATTTGTTGGTCTGTTTTTCTATTCTCAATTCATTATTATTGTTCGCAAGTTTTAGTTATTTTATTTATTGATTTCAGTATTTTCACTATTTGGTGATGGGTAAAGTATTTCATGTTTGTTGCTGCTCCTCCTTTTGCTTGGGCCCATTATTCATCCCTAAGTTTAAGTTTTCCTGACATGACTTCTTAATTAATTTTCCTTAAATATTCAGTTGGCCTTTTCTTAATCTTAAATTAAGAAATTATTTAAAATGAATGACTTCTTACCTCTGATTCCCTCTTTGATACATTACTTGGTGTTGTTTCTTTCATATTTCTAGCTAATTAGTGCTTTGCTTTATAATTTCATTCTTTCACTCTGGTTCCTGTCTTAGGTAAAATATGTATTCGGTACTTTCCCTTCTTTTTTCACCTCAGTTATCACATGATGTTTTGTTTTAGATTCTAAACCTGCAAGCAGGGCTTAATGATTCCCCCCCCCATGCATGCATGCATATTAAATATATTATATTTTCTCTGATATACTTGTCCTTCCCAGAATCCTCAATTTAAATGCAAATAAGCTTTGAACCCACAAAGAACACAGTTACTTAGCTCTGGTATGTAGTAACAATGCTGACTTGTATAGCCCTAATTGTCCCAAGATTCTGAGACTCAAAATATAATCTTGGGCCAAGGTAATTGACAGGTTTTCATTAGGCATCTTTAATGCTATTTTTTAAATGTTTCATAGGTCTAGAAAGGATAGGTGTGAGCTGCTATATGGAAAACAGAATTTTGGAGTCTTTGCAAAGACATGTGTAAGACATTAAGTTACATGGAAGTTGATTGGTTTAGTTGACAAACTTTAGAACTTAAAAAACTTAATAGTTCTGCAAAATGCTAGACCATTCACAAAAAAGAAGGCCCTGATTCTAGGTTTATAATGTATGGTAAAACAGTGTCTTTCTATTTTTTTGCTATTTAAAAAGACCTATACAGCTTAAATTTGTTACTTAAAAAGATCTAGACAATTTATGTGCTAGGCTGAAATGAATAAAGTGGAATTTAAGTGGCAGAAATATAAAACCAGTAATTGGATAGGAAAATGGGGCAGTATAAGATGGGAAAGTACATGATGTGGGAGACAAGAGACTTGTCTTAGTAGCAGTGCATGTGAAAGGAATTTGGGAATCTTTGTTGATCCCAAATTAAATATGAACCAGCACTGTGATGTAAGAATGTGTTATTTTTGAATGTATTAGCAGGATTAAAGATTCTAGAACACAGAGAATAATAAATCTAATCTAGCCTGCATTGGTCAATTCCTACTTGAAATACTCAGATCTAATTCTAAACATCCTGACTGAAAAGTGCAGTCACAAAAAGGAGCAAGTTCAACAAAAAAGTTAACATTAAGTGGTGATGGGTTAATCTGAGATAAAGATCCAGCTTGGTCTAATTCAGGGATGCATCACGGGCTGGCGATGCCCCACCCTGTTTATTGAAGGAGAAAAAAAGTCCCAATATGTCACGTGACACCGCCATTATGATGTGAGTTTGACACCCCTGGTCTAGCAGTTAAGGCACTAGATTAGAAAGCAGGAGATCTTGAGTTTTTAGTCTTGCTTTAGCTATGAAAGTTTGGGCCAGTCATTTTCTCTCAGCCTAACTTACCTCACAGGATTGTTGTGAGGAAAATAAGAGAAAGAAGGTGTGTTCCATAGGTATGCTGCCTTGGGTTATTTGTAAAAAAAGTATAAAGTGGGATATACCTTTTAAAAAATAAAAAATAAAATTCTAGTATTTGTGTGTTTGGGGATATGGTACTGTGGGAGATATTCTGGTTTTTTTATGTGTATCCTATATCCTGTTATTAAATTTTGAGCAGTTCATCTAAATATTTATACTAATAAAAAGCAGTGGCATGCTTTTATTCTAACAATTGGTTTTATTGAATATTAAGGCTTTTGTTGTTTGAGATATTACGAAGCAAGAATGCCACCTTGTCCTACTTTCCCTGCTCCCTTAATCTAACAAATTTCTCTGTACCAAGCTGTTTTATGGAAGTAGATTAATGAGGTATGCAGAGTATTTACATGTGTCTTTGATAATAGTAAAAGCTAGTTCTTTACCTTACTTTCTAATTTTTTTTCATCTTTGCATGGATCTATTGTCATTTAGCTTACTATCTTTTGCTTTGCATACATGTTCTGTATTTAAGTGTTTAATGGGGCAAAATTTAGCAAAAGTTCCAGTGGATGTACAATGTATGGGAAGCCCTAATCACATTTGAAAAGTAGATCATTTTGTGTTCCTTTCAGGCAATATTTGAATGTATTTCTTTTAAGAAAATCCATTTATAATGGTAATTGGTTGTGTATTTACTCTCCAATCCTGTTGTGGAACTTGTTTGTTGCTTTTCTTGGTGGGGGAAGGAGAAGAGGAATAATAGTGGCTTGAGGTCTGTCCTTGTGGAATTAACTCTTTAACAGCTGCATTCCTTGTCTGTCTTTGTGGCATCCATCCCACCCCTTTTTTTTTCTTTTCACAGTTCATTCCTACCTTGGTTGTAAAAGGCTCCTTAGTGTTTTTTCTGCACAATTTGAAATTGAGGATATGCAAGTCTTTTTAAGTAGGTTACTTTTCTGAACTTGCTCCAGAGGCTTTCTGACTCATTTTTAATAAAATAAAAGGTTACTTTGGCAAGTTTGGTATATAGTTTCTTTAGCGTTTGCTAGCATTACCTCCTTGTGTCCCTTGTGATGGTATTTCCATTATAAAACAATACTGTTTTCATTTGGAAACTTTCAATTTTCCTGGAAAACTTGAATTATACTGGCTGCAAAGTTTGTATAGGTTATTTTGTATTACAGTTTTTTTTCCCCGGGGCAAAGTTTCATCCTAACTATGAATATTTCAGTATGTTTATCCAACATCCTATTTTTTTAAATTGATGGCATCTTAGTCTACTTTGGTCATAATTATATTTAATAAATTAGGCATTTATTTTATAAGTAATTTTATTTGAAAATTACATACTTCTGATAAAGTTGGGCTTTTGGAATGTTTTTTTTTATTCTTGGTCAATTGTGTCTAATTCTCAGAAACTGCCTGGATAATACTCTGCAGTTTTCTTGGCAAGGTTTTTCAGAAGTGGTTTGCACAAGAAAATTGTTAATGCTGTATTTCAGTACTGTAATTATAAAGCTGAACATGGCATACATAATTAAAACATTATTAAATATGCGGTAATAGGGAATGATTGGACCTACGCTTAGAGATATTGCAGTTGAGGAAATTTGTAGCTTGTATGGCCATATATTCCACTCAAAAAGTTACCTCTGGATTCTTTGTACTGTACTGTAAATTTAATCAACCACAATCAGTGAATTAGCCACACATTCCAGTTTGAACACCACATTGATTGGATTTGCAGAGTAAACTACAGTAAATCAGAACCAAATTAAACCACACAATGACTTAATACATTATCTGACGAAGCTCTTGAATTATGGCAAGAAGATATACTAATCCTGCTATTCTTTTGTCTGCTTAATCTAAAGTACATCAACTATAGAAATAAACAATTTGGCCTCTCAATATGCTTGATTACAATTCCCATTGGTATGTATGTATTTAAATATTTAGGAGCAATTGCTATAGTTGACATCAGTATAAGAAATGTGCTAAAGACCATCTTTGAAAAATTGCAAATTAATACAGCTTTCTTTATCTTTAGTAAAACATCTGCTCTTGGTTTTCTAAAATCTTATTTTTGTTTCAAACTTTTTTGTTCCTTAATTTAGTTCATGGTAAAAGATAACCTTTTCTTTTTTTTTTTCATTTGTATAAAAGAAGTAGGATTAGGCAAATCCTATTCCACAAACAAAATCATGCTGGGAATTTAGGTATACATCTTTAAAAGATTATTATGATACTTTTCAAGTAACTCTATTCATAGCATAATAACCACAAATTATGCTGAATTGGCAGAGAGTACTAAAATCTAAAGCCATTAGAGCAATAACATTCTTCCCGGATGTTGTAAAATTTATATTTAGTTACAAATATATATATAATATATATACAATGAATATATGAAATGGGATATTAGAAAAGTCAGGACATTATCTGGTTAAACACTTAATAGGGAATCCATCTCTGCTGAATATATTTTTTGAAGAATTGGTTCCAAATTTCAGCTGAATCAAGTTTCATCGTCCCTTCTTAATTTTGTTAAATTTCAGCAATCAAACCCTTTAGCATGGGGTGACAAACTGGATTTCTGTGGGGGCCAAATCAGCATTGCATTTCTCCTCCGTGGGCCGGCTTGCGGGGAGATGGGACGGACACCTCCTGCAGTACCCTGCCAGCCAAAATGGGGCATGGGGGTGCGTGTGACCCCCCGTGTCCCATTTTGGCCAGCAGAGTGCTGCAGGAGGCTGCACAGACAGAACACAGGCCATGGGAGGGGCGTGTGTGGCTCGCTGTGCCCCATTTAGGCTGCCAGAGGCACTGCTGACCAGTCCTTTCCTATTTCCAGGCTGACCCTATGGGCCAGATTTAAGCACCCTTGAGTTTGCACCCCTACTTCAGCAGTATTTGAAGAATGGTATAGGCACATTGTTTAAATTCAGGGAATTCTCTTTAGTTCTGTAATACACTTCTGTACTTGGTAGCATTGGCATTGAAAGGAAGGTGAAAAATGTCCCAGAAGAAGGAATAAAGTAATATGGGAAGAGGAAATGGAAGCTGAGGCAGTGAGTTAAATTGAAATTCTTTATGATATAAAATGGATTTAAATCCACTTTAGAAAATTAGAATTAGAATAGCAGAATTGGAAGGGACCTTGGAGGTCTTCTAATCCAACCCCTGCTCAGGCAGGAAACCCTATATACCGTTTCAAACAATGGTTGTCCAATTTCTTCTTCAAAACTTCCAGTGTTGGAGCATTCATAACCTCTGGAGGCAAGTTGTTCCATTGATTAATTGTTTTAACTGTCAGGAAATGTCTCCTTAGTTCTAGGTGGCTTATCTCCTTAACTAGTTTCCATCCATTGCTTCTTAGAAGTCCTGCCCTCACACCTTCAAGCCCTGACACCAAGAAATTATCTAAGTAATATTCGGTTTCCTTGATTTTCTGATTAATAGCCACACATTCATGGTCAATATGAATACAATAACAGCAGTTTTGTCATATGGTTTGGTTGCCAGTCATTTTCTAACCTTCTGAGAGTACTCCGTTAACCTTTAAGCCTCCCGTGCCCTAAATAGTTTATCTTAAAAGAGCATGTCCTTCCATTTCCATTTCTCCAAATACCAGGGCCAACTTCTGAAGCCCTTCTCAATTTATCACTGCCAAAGAAAAGAAGTGCATGACTACAAAGACAGGGTGGTGGTTGCGGTTAATTGATTTTAGTCTTTTCTAAATCTTTGTGTTACTAAATTTTTCTTTTAGCTGTATTGTGTCAGTGTTTTCAGCCAATTATTTATTTTGTTATATGCCGTTTTTATCATTGTTGTGTTTCATTTTATTTATCTCTTTATTGTTGGCAAAAACTTGAGTAAGTCATTAATTCAAAAGTTGATAAATTACTTCTACTCAGATGCAATAGTAGAATCATTCTTTTTTTAAAATGGCACTTCTTATTTTAGTTTGCTGAAAACAGTTACTGTAGCTAAAAAGTTGTACAGGGTATATGTAGCTGTAAAGTTTTTATTGGCAGATTGTAATAGAGCCCAAGGGGCTCGTACCAGTTGAGATAAAGAGTCCTTGTTCAGTAAGTAATGAAAAGACTTATATTAATTTGAACTGTATAGGAAACAACAGACTATATTTTTAGAGATAGTTAACTAAGGTGAGAAAACTTCAAAAAAATAATAATAACAAAAGTTATGTTTTGCTTTTAAACAAATGTTTGATATCTGTGGAATCAGACACACAAACTTGATTTCAAGGAAATTCACAAAATTTCCTTGATTTCAGGAATGTTTCTATTCTGTTATTGTAATTGTATTTGGATTTTTTAAAATTATTTCTAGATACATGTATTGGACAGATTGGGGCGAAACACCTAGAATAGAGCGTGCTGGAATGGACAGCAGTTTTCGAAAAATAATCGTGGATTCTGACATTTATTGGCCTAATGGACTCACCATAGATCTCAGTGAACAAAAGCTTTATTGGGCTGATGCAAAGCTGAGCTTCATTCACAGAGCAAATCTGGACGGCTCTTTCAGGTAGGGGTGGTGCGTATGTGCATATATGAATGCATGTAACCTTCTGCAAATACATTGAATATTGCTTAGCTGTTTTCTGTTTAAACTTATCTGGTGCTAATGTATTTTCTGGAAACTATGACAACAAAGGTTATCAACCTTGCATCACCAGTTGCCCTTGAATATTTTGATAACTGTCTGGCAGATCATTATTTGTTCCTTTTTCTTTTTACATGTTTCCATCTCTCCTTTATTGTTCTTTGCTGCTAATTCATGCTTTATCATGCCTCCCTTTTCACCCCATGGTGATAACTCATTCTCCATGTACATGGTAACATTGAATTTTCTGTGTTGTTCAAAAGCACCTATGAATCAAGTATGTATGTCAATGGTTGTGACCTTCCATACATAGAAGAAATGGAGTCACATAAATACATACTTTGCATAGCTGGTATATACAAGATGAGGGAGAGAAAGTACTATCTGCTTGTCCTTTCTTTGCCTGCAGAATTATATTAGATTCTGAATGATTAAAAAACGAACTCAGTTTTACTCCCCATAACTGCTGTCTTTGAAAGGTTACATTACAGCCCAGATTCAAGAAATACAAATAAGTACTGTTGGAACATACATATCTCCTGCTATGACAAAGTTGTTCTAGCAAAGTTAGTTTTCAGAATGTTAATCAATGTTCCTTATGTGTATTGTTATCATTTAAGATAAAATATTCCAGCAATCTCATTTTTTCTCTCCTCTTCACTCACAATTCATGGTTGGACATTGTGCGATACATATTTGTGTTTTGTGCACAACATAATTCCGTAGATTTTTGTATCTTATTATAGATGTTTAAAATTATTTTGGAGTGGTAATGGAAAATATGAATATGATATTTTAATGCCCAAAATACCTTTAGTTTTAATAGTGCTAAATAAATTAAACTTCAAAGAAATTATGTACACTACAAATATTGCTATTGTGAATGGTAAATTAAAATTGCTGGAATTTTAGACTCCTGTGTGATGAACCTCCATTTTGAAAAGTCAGAACAACATAGTAATTTAAATAATTTTTCAGAACAATGTATGTTATGGTAATTGTGGTTCCAGTTTGCAGCCATGGTATTTTTTGAAATGATTCAAAAGAAAGTGTTTTGACCAGTTATGTGCAAGGCCCATTCCACATAAATTTATTTAAAAATAAATTTATTTAAATTTATTTAAATTTTGACATCTTGTCTTTCCATATTAATTTGTGAAGTAGTTTTTGTAATCACTTTGGAAAATATTCTTTCTTCTACAAACTAGGCAAAAAGTGGTGGAAGGTAGTCTGACTCATCCATTTGCCCTGACGTTGGCTGGGGACACTCTGTACTGGACAGATTGGCAGACGCGTTCCATTCATGCCTGCAACAAGAAAGCTGGAGAGAATAAGAGAGAAATAATAAATTCTCTTTATTCACCAATGGACATCCAAGTTTTGAGCCCTGAAAGACAGCCATATTGTATGTTTGCTGTTTGTTTCTTTTTCTCTCACATTGGGGATAAGTGGGATTTTAAATCTAACACCCATGAAGAAAATACAAATTATTATTTATGCAACGTAGGCCTCTGCACTACTATAATTATTAACAAGCCTGGTATGCTAGGTTGTTATTTGATTGTGATAGAAGGTTTAGTCCTGAATGCCATGGCTTAGGTTCTTAACTTGATTGCTGTTTAATAAAGTTTATCATATTTATATAAGAAGTTGATTGCAGAAAAGAATCTCAAACTGTTTCAAAAGAAAGAAAATCTCAGGGTCTCATCCTGTAGATTTTTCACCAGTGTTTCAGTGGAAGTTTGCAAGACAGAATTTATCTGATTGTCAATGATGTGGCTGTTGCTGTAATATTAAAGAAACTCAACCAGCTAGAGCATAATAACTGAATAAAAGTGGCAAGAAAGGAGACTTGGGATTCACATTCTGTGGACTCTATAAGTTACTCTCATTAATATAACAGCTAATTCCCACTTTGATGCCACAGATCTCTGAACAATGTATCAGACTGAACAGTTGAACACTTTCCAAGACTTAAATGAGATCATCATTAATTGGTTGTACATATAGCGCAATGCAAATTTGGTTAAAAAAGCAGGCCATAGCAATGCAAATTCTTTGCTGATATACCTTTTTCCCCTACTTATTGAAACAGGATTTCATTTAGAAATGTTAAAATTCAGAATTTCTCAGGCGCATGTATATATGTTAAATATTTTAAATCAGTGGTTTTAAGGACTTATTTTTCACTAGTATCTTGTTAATAGTATATATTTTGTCATAATATTTTGTAATGCTGTTAGAAAAATGTTAACGATATTTTGCAGTAAAAAAAAAAACTTTACTGTGAGTGACTTGGAGGGAAGAGTGGCAGAGGGGAAGAAACCTCATTATTTCTCATGGATGAAGCCTTTAATCAACAGGGAAAACCTGTGGAAAAAAATTGAAAACCAAGATAGTATGCTTTGATTGAATTCTTTAGCTATAAGATTCCCAAAGAAATAGTGTCTTGTGCATACTAAATATTAGAAACATAATGTAACGTAACACATAGTTCTATCCTAAAGTCGAATACTATCTCATTTAAGAGAGCATTGAGGCCTAAGTCTACTATTGAAAACCTCGGAGGAGATTCAGCTTATTCTGACGAGCTGTAGCTATACTAAGAAAAAGGATAGATGTTTTGTAAATATTCATGGAGAAGAGAGAGGCAGTTAAGAGCTGCTTTAGCTGAGAAACAGGTGCAAAGCTTCAGTAGATGTCATTGGGTATGTGCCCTGATAGAGTTTGTCCTTGCGTTCCAGATGAGGCAATGCGATGCTCTCGGAATTCCTAACATTTCTCTCAGCTGAGAGCACGTCCCACCCCTGGGTCACAATATTTCTGGACAGTAGTGAGGAAAGCCTGGTACACTGGGAAATACTATGTGCTAGAAATAGTTCAGATAATACTGTCTCTTGATTCGACTGGATTTGAATGCCATAGCTCCAAGTGTTTGTACCATATTAACTGATTGTGGATCATACACAGGGATATCATCTTAACACTGGTGCTTTTGAATGATTTTACACACACACACACACACACACACACACACACACCACTTTAAATTGTCATCACTTTTGATGCCATAATCAAAACAGATTACATATTGGGATGAGGAAGAACAAATCAAACAGAACACCCAGATCTTAAATTTTTAGGTTTGACTGTGAGATAGATACGTGATTTTGTATGCTTTCCAAAGTACACTAGCTATAATAAACATAAATAATAACTAGAAATATTTAGGCTATGTATAGCCAACATAATTGACTGGGACACAGCTGAATGTAGAAAATACTAAGAAGTTGTTACAATTGTTGCAGGATGAGATATACAGAAAAGTATGAACTGATGAAACAAATAACAATTGTTCAGGTTCAACCTGCGCTGTAACTATAACAGCAGTCCAAATAGAAATAAACACACAGCATCCAGTTGTCTCTTAACAGTTTTTTATGAAACTACCAAACCCTATTGAACCCCCAACAGCTTTGTAGCAGTTTGAGATACTGTAGTGTGAAAAGGTACTTTTTTCAGGACAGTTTTATGTTTATTGATACTTCCCTAAAGTCATACAGAGTCACATTAAATGTCTGTCTTGTAGTCAATTATCTTTTAGTGCCTGACTGAATTTATGAGGAAACATAAAGTGTAATTATCATCTTTAGGGATCTAGGTTTCCTTTTGATGGTATCAGAATGTGTTTAAAAATGTGCTGATTTCCTTTTCTTCTCTTATTTTTCAAGTTCACACACCCTGTGAGGAAAATAACGGTGGTTGTTCACATTTGTGCCTGTTGTCCCCAAAGGAACCCTTTTATAGTTGTACCTGTCCTACTGGAGTCCAACTACAAGAAGACGAAAAAACCTGCAAAGCAGGTAAGGAAGACTTCACCGTACCACTGCTTGCTTTAATGAGCCACAACTCGATCGTTAACTGTCCTTGTGATCTTACTTCAGCTTTCGGCTTTGTTTCTCAAATCCACAAAAGTTGTAAATCTGAGAATTGATCATAAAACTATTTTTACATCACTTTCAAAAATGCAACAGTTTCGGTTACCCTGAGGTAAGATGGGCAGCCAATACATTTTATAGATCAATAAAATAAATAAATAGTTGTTAAACGAGAACCATCTGTGGTGTCTGTTCTCTAGTTTTTTCTTCTCTTCTCCTGAATCCCCCAACCAGTCCCCTCCACGCTTCTTATTTTATAGGTTATTTGTGTATTTATTATAAATTCATTTCCTTTAGAGGCACTCAAGACTGTAAGAAGATGCCTCAATGTCAATTAAGTCAGGTTCAGTTTAAAGTACAAAGCTCCACACTAATGCATACATAAACATGCAAGGGATAACAGAACTTGTATCTTCTGGGAAGATATTTTTAGCTTTGTAATGGCTGCTCCTGTAATTTGCCAGTGGATGGGTAACCATTTCAGATACCTATCTTAAAATATTAATTTATGACTCTTCATTCTAACTATTACACCACTACGGCTCTTTCATAAACCTAGATTTCTTATAATCATGGCATGTCTGAACCTAGAACAGTGGTAGTCAACATGGTCCCTACTGCCCACTAGTGGGCGTTCCAGCTTTCATGGTGGGAGGTAGGGGTTTTGTCCCCTACTTTATAAATCACCATTACTGTGGAACCGGTGGGTGGTTAGAAATTTTTTTACTACTAACAGAGATACAAAAGTGGGCAGTAGGTATAAAAAGGTTGGCTACCCCTGACCTAGAACCTGACATGTCCTGATATCTTTTGAGTGATTGTAGAATGGGAAACATCATATAAATCATGATTATTTTGCTCATCTGCAACACTGGTATATATAACAAATTATGGCTAAAGTGTATTCTGGGATAACAATATGAATGACCTCTGCCCAAAATAGTCTGAAATGGAAGTTACATATTCATAATATTAGCTCATCATCATATCAGGACTGATATATCTATATGTATGTATGTATGTATGTATGCATGTATGTATGCATGTATGTATGCATTCATTCATTCAGATATATATATATTCAGGTGTGTGTGTGTGTGTGTGTGTGTGTGTGTTCAGATGTATATATCTATATCCATAAGAGAGAACTCTAATACTTCAGAAAATTCTGAAGCAAGACATTTGTATTAGATTTTTTTTCAATTAATCCATTTCAGATATGTTACTTTGTCTTCTGAAAAGAAAGATGGAAAATCGTGGCAGAAAATATATAATTACTAAAATAAAATATGTACTTTTATTGAAGGCCATTTGATTATATAAAATAAATTTTAAGTAAATTGCTAGTAATTTGTTTGTTCAATATCATTATGCTGTGGAATCCAGCCATGAAACGTTTAATAACAATGAATCATATAGATGCACTTAGTCTAGAAGTCTTTGGGCAACAAATGATGGTGGCCACCACATTTCTTCCCCCCCCCCCCTTTTTTTTTTTGCCTCTTCATCACCACTTGTTGCTCTTGTTTCATGTGTATGTGGACAATGCTGGAAATTGAATTTGTATCTGGAAGAAAGCAAGGCCAGTTTTTTCCCCATTATTCTGTCTTCTGTCTGCTGCAGTTGTGTTATTGATGTGCTTTTTAAGGTATTGAAAGAACAGGGTTTTTTTCCCCTCCCCTTTTAAAAAACCCCTCTTTTCACAGCTTTAGAAACCCTTGATGAATGAATGCTCAGAACAAGCCTTTCAGAAGACTCATATTGACCTTGTGTTTCTGGCAATGGGAAATAGCCCCAGTGGGCATTTAGTACTTTGGCTAAGGGCACAGAAATGAGTGACTGTTTATGTGGTATTTGCACCTTTCTATTGTTGAGCTAGACATTCTTTCAGCCCTTTTCATCAAAAGGGTAGAAAGTGGGATGGGAACAGGAAGTCTGGTTTTGCATAAGAATATGTAGCTTTTTGGTTCACTTTTATGGATTATTTCTTTCCCAAGCTCTGCATCTTTTGTGGGTTCTCTGCCTTATGCCAACATCCATGTGCTTTGACTCCCAGTCCTATTAATTAACTCATTGGTGGCCAAGGACTTTTAATATATTACTCAGGAGGAATTTAACTTGCAATAGTATATCCACTTTTTGTGATTTCCTCAGGAATTGTGTTCTTCAGATTAAATACTTTGCATGCTATAGAGAATGTCTAACTTGTTCCTTAAATAATTTGGGGTGCATTTAGACAGAAACAAGCTCATTAGTGACCATAATGTGCCTTTAAAAAAATTTAAAATGCAGAGCTGATTTTGAGAGTATTATTTTCTCTTTAAACCCATTTCTCCTGATTTTAAATTCTCCATCAAAGTTTTTTTTTAAAAAATGTAGTGTATTTTATTATGCCTGTTGTATAGAATAGAATCTATTGATATTTTCTCCTGTTAAATTGATATACTGCTATTCTTCCATTTTTAACTTCACTAATATGAATGTGTAACATATTATAAATTTATAAATATTATAAATTTATAAATGCCAATTACATAATAACATATAATTTTTGAGAACATACAATTCCTTTAGTGATAACAGAGAAAAAAAGCTACGTATATATTAGTCATCTGTTAATTGTAAAATACAATATATGCAGTTATGAGGTGTAATATAACTTTTCCTAAAGAAAAAAGGTACCATTTTAACTGAGAGTTACATTGTGAATTAACCAGACTGTCCAGATGATTTGTTTTCTACCCCAGAATGTAATAGAAATAAAAATATGCATTAAGTGGTAAGGGACTCTTACAGACACAAATATTCATTCCACATAAACTGTCAGTTAGGTTGAATTTGCTTGTCTATAAATGAATATTGAGTAGTTCGTTTATAAAATGCCTGCTTGTTTGTTCAACTAGATGGAACTATTTAACATTAGAGAATAGTTTTAAAATCCTATTTAAAATCTTCACAATTTTTAAAAATATCTCTCAGTTATTATAAGGTTTTTAACTCTGGTAACAGCTATCTAGGTTGTCTATTATAAATATGCATATGAAACTTTTCTGCAAGAGTTTCATGATGGGATCATAATATTTGGATTTTTCAAAGTGTGGAACAAAATTATTTCAACATTAAAAATATTTTTTTAATGGCAATATTCCTTGGCATTCGTTTTTTCTGATAAACACTATAGTGGCATATATAATGTAGTTGATTCTAGTGAAATAAAATTTTCTCCAGTGACCTTCTTTTTATAAGTTCCTATCTTTTTTTTCTGTGCAGTGCTGTGGATGAACAATTGGTGTAATATCAAATAATTTGTAAGTGCTAGACTGTTCATTGTTTTGCATAGTTGGTTAGAATAACTGACGTTTTAATCCCCCTCACATTCTCATGATCAATAAAAATGTCTACTATTAGTGGTAGGCAATCATTCAGGTAAATCAGGCTAATGTATTTATTGGCTTTAAAAATGATTTGGTGTTGATACACTGGGTATGATTCAGTATTGAAGAGGCGAATAGATAGCTTTACATTCATTGCTTTCTAAAGGTAGCAATGTTGTTTGCTAGTTTTAGGCTTTGCTAAACCTATTCCCCTTCCCAAGGCTCTTCCAGTAAAATGGTGCTTGTAAGAAGTTAGTCCTTTGTTGGGAGTGGGAAGGGGAAGAGAAAAAGGGAGGAATATCGACAATAGACCATTGTTATAGTCTGGTTAATAGAAGTACTACTGAGAAAGGAATAATGCTGCATTTTCTGCATTAGCAAAAGCAAAATGCTGTCTACATTTGTTTAGGTTGGATGAATAAACCGGATCATTTGTTACTATATTATAGGTGCCTTGTCACAAATCAAACTTAGAGAAAGCCAAAGGGAAAATGACAAACAGCTCTTGTGGAGCTGGTCTGCTTTGCTGCTGTGGAGCTGGTCTGCTTTGCTGCTGATTGGAGATAATTTTGCCAATAGACTGCAGCTGCCATTTCCAGAGCAGAAAGATGGTTTTTTAATCACAGGAGTGCAAAGCAATGATCTTGAAAGGCAGTATTCTAGTATAGCAATTTAAAACTCACAGATGAAAGCAAATCCTACCTTGGTTATAAACCTTGACACAGAGAGACATGCACATAGTACCATCCTCCCTCACTATCTCATTCTGCTTTCTGCCTAGTTTTTCATTAACTACAAAAACAGAATATAACATTCAGTGGCTGAGGATAAATAGACCAACATTTATGCATTGTGGCTAGATTTCCTTTCAAATCCAGTTAGCCTTGGCAGGTGTTTCTAAATGCTAATTAAAAGGCATGTGCTTCTATGGATATTAGTATTGTCAAAAGATATGTAAAGCTTTGGGGAATAGAAAAAGAAAACAAGGCAATTTAATAATATTAGTTAAAGAGAATAAAGGATTGTACTACTAAAATTATTTTATGATTAAAAGAAATTGGGTTTGTTACTCTTTCCCTTTTTAAAAGTAATTAAATTATGCAATTTTTCTTGCTTGTTGAATGACTCGTCATATTTATTCCTTTCCCTCCCCTCTTTTTGGACAAATAGCTCCTGGCTGATGTAGACATATTTTTTAAAAGCCAGTAAGAATATATGTGCTGCCTCAAATAGTGCTTTGGATTCCATTGCTGGCCAAGAAAGGAATTTTCCAGGACCAAGTAAGATTGGCTGATGAATCTCAACTTCAGGAGATTTATTATTTTTTCCTTTTGAATGCCATCTGAGGAATGGCTGCTTGTACTGCTTGTAGAATATGATCCAAAACTGGATGCAGTATTTCAAATGTGTCTTACCAAGGTCTTATAAATCAGTACTGATACTTCACATGATCTTGATTCTATCCCTTTATTAATGCAACCTAGGGTTGCATTGGCTTTTTTGGCTGTTGCCACACACTGCTGGCTCATATTTAAGTGATTATCCACCAGG